TGTGTGTGTGTGTGTGTGTTTCTGCACGCTTTGCCTCCCTGTGTGTGTTGCATACATGCCAAGGTGTATAATAGAGGAGTTCTGAGTGGCTGTGTTTATGCATGCCCCCTTCAGTAGACTAGTTATCCCTGATAAGTTATCCCAGGGTCTGTGCTCTCATGAGTGTTTCCGCAGCAGCGTGGAACTGGCCGGGTCGCAGGGAGGATTCGGCACAAGACCGCGGCGACAGCTCGGCTTTTCATGTTTCAGTTGGTAAGAGGCCATCGCCGGTTAAGAGCTGTGTCATAACGATATTATTGATGCGTTGACCGTATAATCCTGTCTCACCACGATCTCACCAAGCCAGATGCTGGAAGAGAGAGGAGGAGGACATCCGATTGGGAAGTGCATCCATTTCATATTTTCTTTATAGAAACTTCAAGTTATGCAGCATAACAGTGAATACATAAAACTTTGAATTCTCCCTGCTGAAAACAAACTTGAATTTGCGCAGCTAACAATTGCCCACAGAGAATTATCACATAACTTTCTCTTTGCTCTTCAAAGCGTGTCTTTAAAGTCATGTGCTGAAGTTGTCTGACCCCAACTTTCAGTTCATGCGCACCTCTCTCATTAACCTTGTTTACATGTTCAGCAAACAGCTGTTTTAACCTAGAAAAAAACACTGCATGCCTCCTGCCTGGAGCCAAGTGGGAGGCAGACAAACTAAATATAAAATGAGGATTGAATGTTGAACTTATATTCATCAGGTGGGTAGAAAAACTAAACGAATGAGAAGGTTGCTTCATGATTTCCAGATGTGTAAAGAACACTATATTCACTTTATATAGGCTTATGTGCTGTAATATGGCCTGTCAGTGTTTTGCTCCCTGCCCTCCAGTGGCCCAAAGATTAATAGCTGCTCTAAAGAATATTGTGCAATTTAAGTTTTTTTAAATTTGGGGGCGATATGTGGCTCAGGAGGTAAACCGAGTCATCCACTAACCAGAGCTTTGGCTGTTCGATCCAAGTCTCCCCCATTGCACGTGCCAAAGTATTCTTTGGCAAGATACTGAACCCCAAATTGCCCTTAATGGCCTTTCCGGCGGAGTGTTAGTCAAGTACTATAGAGGAAGTGCTGCAAGTAGATGCATTGTATGAATGTTTGGGTGAATGGCAAAACTGTTCGTATACATTATATATAAAGTATTCAAATTTCATTAGCATAAGTTTAGAAAAAAAACTTTAACAATACACATAGTCCTTTGATGTCACTGTAACATGCAATATTGATAAGTATAGCTAACATAATCTGTAAAATGCCACAATAAATACAGTATATCTCAAAAAAAGTACAAATTAGCTCACAAGGTTTCATTATAAACGTGTACCTGAATACAAAATGTGTTTTCTTTGTTAGATAAAGACAGAGTTTGGTCAATCAAGTTTTATAATATTGACAGTTTGGATCATTTAAATTTCAGATCAGTTCCTCTCACTGTGGATGTACAGCATGGGGTTCTGAAAACCAGTGAATCTTTGATCCCTTGTCTTTGATGCTGCGCTGCCCACATATAGAAGCGTGTTAGGCGTGGGCGACGTATGTCACTGAAACTATCTCTCTGTGACAGGGGGAATAATTTCTTGTGGTGGTGCTCGGATATCTGCATACGTGATGAATCACGGCCTATCTCTGTGGCTGTGCCCGACACGCGGACCGAAATATACTCAGCAGGTGACAAGCAACCATATGCCTCAAATGCCATGGGGTCCTGAAGCCGGATCATCTCCAAAGGCTAACTGGCAGGTCTAAGTAGGGACGGAATTAATACATATTATTCACAAAGAGCATCATTGAACAGAAAAATGTGCCCGGCGTGTACCCAGCTGCTTTGTTGGCACACACAGCTCAGCCTCTGCCTGGGTTTCAAGACTGAGCTTGGATTTAGCCATGCATTCACTGAATTCCCCATGCAGCTCTTATTCATTCATTCAGGCACAGGCTGGGCTGTACCAACAAACTGGTATCTGTGCATGTGTGTGAACGTGTGAGAAAGAGTGTGTGCATTTGTGCCAGCTCCTGGGTAGTTTTGTAAACCGCAGCAATTTCAGATTTTAAACAAATCTATACAGCAAAAGTTTGTTATTGGGAAATTCAATGGGTGTGATTTAAAAAGGCCTCAGTGAACGATGACTTCACTCTGGCAGCTCAACAGAAAAGGTTTCCCAGGAAAATGAAGCCTCTGACTTTTTACTTTGAATCTCACTTTCTGTCAAAGAACAACTCTGTGGACACTTTCTATTCATCCCACTGAGCTGAGCTGTTGTCACCTGCTGAATGAGTGTCTTCACTTTCTGTTAACGCTGATAAAAATGTATAGATCATTTTAGTCACTACAGCTTGCCTGCCAGCCGTCAGGAGGTCAGCAGGTGCGTCTGTGCTCCCCACATGGATGAATATTTAGAGATACATCGCCCTCTAGAGGCAAAGATGGGTAGGGTACTTCAGGCCAGGACTCAACCTGGATTACAGCTTCATGAAAGTTAAACATCTTCAAATATCACAGTGTTTATTTATCTCTTGTATTTATCATGTATTTTTTTCTATAACTCAGTTCAAGTTACACAAATAATAATAATAATGATGATACATTTATTCATACAGCACCTTTCATACATCAAATGGAGCTCAAAGTGCTTTACAATAAAATCAAAGACATGAAATAAGATAGATCAGTAAGAACACATTAGCAACAAAACGAAGACTCATAAAACTAGCAAAAGGTATAAAAAGAAGTTAAAAGAAATTCAGTTAAATAGAATAAAGACATTAAAAAAGAAGCTCAAGTTAATTAAAAGCAAGATTATACATCATAAACAACCTGACTCACAATTGTCAAATATGAATAAGTTCGGTGCAAAGTTTATTTCATGAATTATTTGTTGACATTGAAAAATATTTATGAAATAGATTTTATAAAATTAAGAATGATTTCATCTGTAAAGTTAAATTTACATCCATATATTTTGAGGGACAGCTGTAGTGTGTTCCGATTAATTCAGTATAATCTCTAGATCTGAATCTTTGTGGAGCGAAGGAGCCTGTAAATATGGAAATTGTGACACATTAGAAGATCTTAAATAACTAAAATGAAGTATTAGTATTGATATTCTATTAAATAAAGTAATAGTAACCTGTTGTTTTCAGACTTACCTTCAGCGTTTGTCAGCTCTCCAAAAGAAATTTGACTGCAAAATAATTCAGAAGGATACTTGTCATTGGTTTGTTTGTTCCACTTCAACGTATTTCTGTGGATTTCAACTCCAGTGGCGTAAAGTATCATGTAAACTTCAAGTTAGTACATTCATGTTAACTTCTGTTCAGGTTTTGTTTCTTACGTGCTTTCCTTTGAGCGGCTTGCTGTAAAAATCAGACTCCAGCGGTGGGCTTCCTCTGCGACTCTCATTCACCGTATTACCTGAGGGGAAATTATCCAACATTCACAGCCACACAGAGAATTGTTCAGTGAAAGACTATAATGAAAACTCCCATTTAGTTCAGGCGAATCTCAGCTGTGGGGATTTGATTTAAAGACACTTCCCTGAGGATTAGATCCTCACCACTGAAACAAGGTTTCCTCTGTGCACAGTGAGACAAGCTTTTAAAGACTCACTTGGTGCGTGATGAACGATGTTGATTTTATCTGGGGAGAGAGAAGAACCTTTCTAAGCCCTTTATATAATACAGGCAGTTGTGAGTTTGCTCCTTTTACCACATTGCATATTATTGTTAAAGTCTCTCGCTGAGCTCTGTGCTGAAAAGTAAGTCCAGGCTGCAGGAGTATTTACCATAGACTCTGTCATCGTCCTCTCTGCTGTTGATGATGCTGTCTCTCAGCTGACTCAACTTCTCCTGCACACACAAACATCAGTTAACTTCAATATCACACTGACACATGCAGACAGTTACTGAGAATGAGGTTTCTGTATATGATCTGTTTTATTTTTGGTCATATCTGGAAACAAGAGTTCGTTTGAGGTTTTGCAGCTGGGTCATAAATATGTTGGAGGTCCAGTGAAAAGACAGAATGTCTGCAAATACTGTTTGGATACCTACAAGAAACAACAGAGCAGACTAAAAGTGTGAGGGTAGTTTGGTGTTTCATTGATGTTTTTTGGAGTAATTCCAGAGTTCCATTAGTAAAATAGTTCCATTTTATACAACTCTATAACTCCAATACATTTAGAGGAAAACACAGAAGGTTTTT